TGGTGAAGATGATGAAGATGATGCTAGTGAAGATGATGCTGAGAAAGAAGAAAATGAAGAAATTAAAATTAGTGATAATTTGATTATAACACATAAAAAAAGTCCAACATTGTATTAATAAATGTGACATAAAGTTCTGGATTTCTGGTTCCATGAGAAACCCAGGAGGATGAAGAGGAAGATGGTAAAGATGATGTCGGGAAAGAAGAAAATGAAAAAATTAAAATTAATTATGGATTAATTATGCCATATCATCAAAAAAAAGTTCACGTTGGATTATGTTACTGTTTAATGCCACGTATTATTATTTTTAACGGTTATTAACGGTGCCGTGACGGCCCGTTAAAATATTGGGTTTTTTACGGATTTTGAAAAATGGAGGGTGTTAATAGGGAGGAAAAATTTTAGAAGATGTTGACCACGAAAAACAAATAAATGGAGGGTGCAAATAGGGGCTCTGGCCAATTATGAATTATTATCCGCAAAACATGATTCTCGGAGGAGGGAGGTCGTTGTTCCTGTTTTGCCATTCGATATGGTCCCATAAGCTTTAAGAAAGTTGAGATTGAAGCACAAAGTTGTCAACTTTACACTAGAAATTTCACATTTTGGAATGACAAAAATGCCGCTGGCTCTTGTTTGGACTTTTCCCTTTTTGGCCTAGGTTGAAAGTGGAGGGGTAAATGTGGAATAAGACAGAGATGAGCAGAATAAAAGGAAGATGGGTCAGAGATTAGGGTTTCATCTCATTAGTTTAAGAATGAGGCTTTGCTCTCAGGAAGGTGGAAGGTTTCTAGGGTGGTTGCCCCCTTCTCTGATGGATGGCGGAGCCGGTGATTTCACTGCCAGATTAATGTAATCAACAACCCTAAACATGAACTGAGAAAATCACTTCTCTCTTCCTCTCCTTCACTCTCTAGCATCATCATCATCACCAGAATTAATCCATGCTCTGTTTCTGCTCTTCTTCTTCTCTCACAATGAGGCTGTGATGAAATCTTCCCTTGAAAAATGCTGACTTTGAAGGTAAAGGCTGTAGTTTGGCAGGGCAACTTCTTGGGTCTCCGGAGTAATGTTCATTCCGGCGGCATCTGATTGTTGCAGCCACCGGCCCTGTTCCTTCATCTGTCTGAGAAAAGGCGAATCTGAGCCTAACCTCCCCCCCCTCCCCCTCCCCCTCTCCTTTTAAATTTTGTATTTTTTCTAGTTTTACATGGAAAATTCAAGAACATGAGTGGAATTATGTCAAGTAAATTAAGGGTTTGCCAAGAATTGGTGGAAAATGATATCTTTTTGCATAGTTGAAAAATGAACCACAGTCATCTGAAATTAAATCCCTTATATCATGAAAACGGGTCTCAATTTTCTTTACAGGCATGAAATATGAAGTTAAAAGGTATCAGTTTTTACAAGATTATTACTCTGGCAACCAATGTCAGCATCATCAGGCAAATAGAAGACTAATCACCATGATTGCTACTAGAGAAAGACTAATGTTGGCTGCTATTGTTGTGCTGCTTGATTTACGTCCTGGTGTACCCGGTGTAGCAGGTGAGTCCACCTTGGCCACTGCTGGCAGTGGTGGGTCGATAACGTCTGCCATATCCAGTGGTGGAGATGGTGCTACTGCTGGTGACATTGCCTCGGGAGGAACCTGGCTGAGGAGTCCCCCAGGTTCAGCTGGCAAGATGGCAATCTCAGCATTTAAGTCACTGCATGGGCTTCCTGCACAAAAACCATGAATTGCCATTAGACTCATTCTTCTTGTTATGTGTTTTTGAAATCATGATGAGATGTGATGCAGATGTTTTCATGATTCAGATATTGAAGGATTTACTCAAATATTTGCTGGCAGTTCCAGGGAATTCTGTTATGACCCCATTAACTCCAAGCCCTGCAATGTAGGTTGCAAGCTCCACTATAGGATCTGAAAAGTAATCGTATGCAAGGGAAACATATTCATTCCTCAGAACCGAAACGAATACTGAGATATTTGCAGCTTGCATTTGCTTGAGAACAGTTGTCTGTGCTTGAGCAAAGCCATTGTTGATGGTGATAAGGGATGGCCTCGGTAAAACAACTGTAGTTGCATACTTCTTGATTTCATCCAAAGGTTGCTTCGGTGCACTGCCTATGGTATCTTTGATGGTTAATACAGTTTTGTAAGCTGGGACACCTTGAAACTTGGACAATACTGAGCTGTCATCTGATTGGATCAGGACTTCTTGGGTGGATTGCTGATCAAAGGTGGCATTCTTCAAGGCTACAGTAACAGCATCCACTAGGCCAAGACCCTTCTTTGATGCTAGGTAAGCAGCATTCTGAGGACGAGGAATGAATATCAAGATTTTGGTAGATTTAGATTATAGTAAAGACATCTACATTTGTGAGATTCTCCGGAATGGTAAATGACAAATTGGAAGAAGGGAATGCTTGCCTCTATGTTGATCAGAATTCCTGATACTGCTTTTGCCTTGGAAAACTCCAAAAAATCAGTTAGGGTCATGAGTTTACCCTGGTTCTGGGCTGCTGGGTTTCTTTGATATCCAGCATTCTGTCTGAAAGGGCTCATTATTTGAGCTGAAACAAGAAAATTTTACCATTAATGTGAATGCTAGATGATTATTAGAGCAAACCAGTTATGAAATGGATGCGGCAATTGTGTTAAGGAAGTTTACGCTTCAAGGTTTGGATCTCACTCCATGTAAGATCAAATGAAAAGATTCCATTCTCCTTCTGAATTTCGGGGACACTAGAAGAACGAGACATGAAGGTAGTAACTGCATTAGTATCACCCATGAGATCTGGTGAATCTAAACAGAAGGCGACCCCATCTTTGGACATTTGAACTGAGCAATCTATGATATCAGCTCCATCATTTACTGCTTGCTCATATGCCAGGTCACTACATCCAGGATAGATCCCACTTGCACCATTGTGAGTTATGATTAAAGAGTTTCCTGTCAAGGCACAGAATTATTTGGAGCATTTATATTTGGTTTTCTTTCATTATACTATTTCTTGTTATTATCTTGATATTATTGAAAATAAAACACATATTAAGATCTTAAGATTAGTGTTTACCATGACTAGGCTTGGTTACATTATTCATTGCAAAGCATGCTGCAGCAGAAAGAACATTTGAAGGATTAGATCACAAATCAATTATATGATAATTTTGAATGAAGAGGATTGATCTCACCAATGGTTTCTGCTGCTGTCGTTGGGAAATCTGTAACGACACCATCAACAGAAAACTGGGAATTGTCAATGAACTGCTGGTACTCAGCTGTTGGATCATAGCTATAATTGTAACTTGCTGGCATATCATTTGCAAAAACAGAAGCATATACTTCAAGCCCGAGCTTGTGAGCATCAGCCACAAGAGTTGTTGAAGGCCCCAGGTATTTGTTTGGATTAACAGGCCATATGTATCCCTTTGGCACCAGAATCCCAGAAGCAAATGCCTTGATTGCAGCAAGATTTTTAAGTAAAGAACTGTATGTTTGATTGGTTGTGGGTTCAACTACATTTGGATCTAGGAATACAAAGATAAGCTTTGTCCTGGCTTTGTTAACTTTTCCACCTATTGCCTTCAGGAAACCGATCTCAGGAGATGAAATGTAATTTATACCCATAAATTTCATTGCATTTTGCAAATATGCTGACACACTGAGACCATGCTGGGTATAGAACGCATCATACTGCAATGGATATGGAATGAAGTTAGTTCTGTTCTACCCTCAGGGCTTACATGTTAAAGGTTGCGAATGTATGGTATTATATGAAATGAAACATTAAAGAGAAATATCAGACCGGAACGTTCAACCAGAAGAATGGAGGTTTGATTCCTGCAACATCCTCAACGGTAGATACTGGTATTCCATCAAACAAAGTTGGTCGAGAGAGTATATTTTGATTCACTGTGTAAGAACATGACAAAGCAATGCTGTCAGTGCATTAAGATCAATATTTACATCTTTACATCTATCAGTTTCATGATCATTTCTGTTAATATTTATATAAAGCACTCTGCATGCTAGTTGCACATCATTGCTATCTTTTATAAGATTGTATTCCCTGACCAGTTTTAGAATCTCTTCGGACAACTTAAACTGATATGATGCTTTTGAGACTTACAAGAGACATTGTTGAGTATGAGTTCAGACATGTAATCCAAAGCAAACCACCCATGAACTTGATTTCCATTAACATTGTAAACTTTCTGGTCCTGTGGAAAGAGAGTTGCTATGTTTGTGGAATTGTCAAGCCTGATATCAGTCTGGCATATGCCTGCCCCGTCTTTTGTTAGCTGCAAGTTACAGAGCAAAGCAACCTCCACACCTAGCGTACTTGTCAGCTGAAGGGCCATGTTATTTGCAAACTGACTGGATTCCGGGAACAGCCCAGAGAACCCACCACGAGCAACAACAAACGGTGCATTGCCTGAGACATTGCAGAAAACAAAGATTAAATACAAATCCTTAAAACATGATTAGATAATAATAACTCAAAAACGAATGAGGCAAAATCATCAAGAATTTTCTTATTACCAGTTAAAGTCAGCCATTTCTTAGAAGGAGGTGCAGCAGGTTTCCGTGCTAACGTGACATGAATCAACACGAAAGAGAAAAGCAAAATCCTAATCATTTTCCTCCAAATCCTGAGTTCATTCAGAATTGGCAAAAATATCAATGAACATCAACTTACAAATTCTATCAACATATATATTGTCCCTCGTCATATGATGTTATCCCATTTCCCATATCACATCTAAAATGAAAAATCAAGAAAATAGATTATAAGAAATGGAAAACTCACATGAATCCTGATCGATTAGACTTGTAATACAAACATTCCCTGTCAAGTTTCAGACACAAAAATTAAGGAAGAAACTCTCAAGGGAATGCAATGAAGAAAAAGGGTGGAGCAGAGGAGAGGAGATAATCATAACCCCCAACACAATTCTCGCATTAATAGCTGGTGAGAGATTTATTTACTGCTAAGACCAGTTATTTTTTTGTGGGTTGTTTTTTTTTTATATTAATTTGCTATTATTGACTTCATGTTGTTCCTGCTTTTGGGGACACCTGATGTCTTTAGCGGGAAAGAACAGCCCCAAACCCCTAACGGCTTAACCGTTTTTTGAAAATTAATCTAAGCTCTGTTAGGCCCTCTTAACGATTTTCTGCTGGCCCAACAGTGGCCTAAAGCATAAGCCCGATTCGGCCCAAAACTAACTCTCTCTCTCTCTCTCTCTCTCTCTCTCTCTCTCTCTCTCACTCCAACTTTTGGCCAATGACACGTTATTTTAATTGGATAAATGATGAAATTAAAAGGAAAAATTTTTTTTGAACAGATTACAAATTGTGAGTGAGAGAAATTAAATCCAACTCAAAAGGTTGGAGGTGCACCTATCAAGGTGACACAAATTGAGGGTCAAGGAAGTTAGGTGCAAATTAAAAGGAAAATTTGAAAAGAAAAAATTATGAAAATTTTATAACAACTAAAGTAACTGGTTTTGCATAAGAGGAGTATGATGTGCATTAAGTATGAAGCACTCTAGTAGGCCCCTTTTTTTTGAAACATTTTAAGGAAAAATACACTCAGATCAATCATAACTCTAGTATATTTGTTGAGTGCAATTAGCATTCTCCATTGCAAAAAGAATGGTTCAAAAAAAAAATTTAGATATGGATAAAATTACAAGATTACATTGTCAATTTTCAAAAAAAATAATTTTTCTATTAGCCATTCGATATTTGAAAACTATATTAAATTTCAATTAATTTAGAATCAAATCATATCAAGATAATGGATAAACTCTTCCAAGAATTATTTTTTTATTTATAAGATTTGAATTCAAAATTTTATTGAAAGAGAGTCAAACCTTTTTCACTTGAATTAAGAAATTATTAATAATTTCAAAGAAAATAGTTACAAGATTATGTCGTGGAGACAGTAAAAAATTAAAATATCTTAATAATTAAAATATTAAAAATAATTATAAAAATATTTAAATATTCGTAATAAACTAACATATATAAAATTTATCTTTTACAAGTAATACAAACATTTTAAATACCACATGGTTGCTCATTGCACCTTTCTCTTACACGGTATTTGTATTTTTAATTTTTATCGGGTCATACACAAGGATCCAAATCCCTTTCTTTTGAGAGGGTTTGGCGGGATCTGATGGGTCCACGATTAAAGGAAATACGAACGGTTAGGATTCCATACTGTCACGAATTGGGGTAATTGTGCGGTCTTGATCGCATTCAATTCCTGTCATCGGATTCATCAGAACATTCCCCCACCGACAAGTGTCGGCGAGCCATCCATTACCCGCCAGGTAAGCGATTGCAGTTATTCCAATAAAGTTCGACCGCAGTGAATCTTGAATTATTCCAATTCACTCTTCGCTTTCATCACACGGATTCCGAAGGCAAAAAGCTTTCAGGTGGGGGGAGAAGGAATTTTGCGCTTTTTTTGGGTGAAAATTCTCGACGGAGATGAAGATCACGGCGTTATTGGTGTTGAAAATCAATCCGGATGGATCCGATCCGATTATTCTGGCCAACGCTTCCGATGTCAGCCATTTCGGCTACTTCCAGAGGTCCGGCATCAAGGAGTTCATCGTCTTCGTGTCTCGAACCGTCGCCAAACGGACGCCGCCCGACCAACGCCAGTCTGTGCAACACGAAGGTCTGTTCTCCTCTCTGTAGCATGAAGACCTAGGTTGTAAATTGAATTGTTGATGTTTGGGTATCGGATTGCAAGTTTCTTTGGCGGTTGGGGTTTCTAAGGCTGCGTTTCGATCCTTGGTTTTGGTTTTGGTTTTGGTTTTGGTTTTGTATCGTTGATTGATTGTCCTTTGAGATTTTGAGTTGAATATTGAAGCTGAAATTCAAAATTGATTTTTTTTTTTTTCGCGAAATTGACTCGAATGATTCATGATTCATGAATTGAGGTGTTATTTAACATATAATATAGGATTCATTTGTCTATTTGTAACACTACATTTGTAGAAATCTTTTCTTTGGAAGATGTAATCACTTAGTTGGCATCATTTTACTTGGATCAATTTGCCAGGTCCAAGTTATTTACTGATTTTTATGTTTGAGAATTGAGACAGAGGAAGTTCTTTTATTTTAAGCTTTTAATTCCCAGTTATTTTTGGCTGAGAATTGAAATCGGTGATGAATCATGATTTATGCTGTTTTTTGTGGCATCTTATAGAGTATAAGGTGCATGCTTACAACAGAAATGGCCTTTGTGCTTTGGGATTAATGGATGATCATTATCCAGTTCGAAGTGCTTTTTCGCTTCTCAACCAGGTAAAAACCCTTGTTTCCACCTCTCTACTTTAGTTTTTACAGGATAGATCTCTCTGATCAAAGAACTTGGGGATGTGGCATTCTTCATTTCTCATGCCATTCTTATAAATCACATGAACTGTTTATCAAAACATAGATACTGCAAGGACTTAAGTTCTGAGGGAAGATAAGAAATTAATGTAAACTCCATTTTCTATCATTTTTCTTTTCTGTACAAATAAAAAGAATAATGACATGAAGCTAGGTGCTAGTTGATGGTAATAGAAAATGGACACTAGAACAACCCTCAAAGTGTGTCTTTCAAAATGACAAGTATAAAGTTTTGAAGCCTTCTTCCTGCTTGGGTATGAGTGGATCACATATTTTGATTTGGGAGGAGTGATTCACATGTGTGTTCATTCCTTCCTAGTATGTTGTGCTTGTTGAGAGCTTGGGATATGTTTAGGAGTTCAGATGCTCTTAATTTTGATCTTATTGAAGTATGGGTGAATAAATTCATGTCAAAAGATGTAAGAGTCTATCATGGTATGTCAGGCTTCATTCTTTGGCTTTGTCATTAGGGTTATGCATGTGCTTTGGTGACCACATCTGGAATGAATAGTTTTATTCGTGCATAGAATTATATTTATTATCCTTAGATCTGTAAGTATGGTTTTTGCTTATTCTTCATATATGCGATGTTGCTATATTATCTGTTACTTGGCACATGATCATGTGTATATGAATTATAATGTTTGGCAGGTATTAGATGAATATCAGAAAAATTTTGGGGATTCGTGGAGGACAGTACAAGCAGATAGCACTCAACCATGGCCCTACCTGAATGAAGCTTTGAGCAAGTTCCAGGTAAAGTCTGATTTTACTTATCATGACTTGAGGGAGAAAACCAATGGAGTTACTCTTCATTCGGAAGTATTTTGTTAATGTTTATTGGTGTCTGGAGCTGTAGAAGGGTTGTTTAATGAACTTTTTCTAACCTTCTTCATCGCTAGGACCCTGCTGAGGCAGATAAGTTAATGAAAATTCAGCGAGAATTGGATGAGACCAAGATTATCCTTGTAAGTATTATTTTTATGGTTTCAACTCATGTTTGTATTTTCTCGCAGGTGGTAGGAGAGTTTAATTTATCACTTTATTAGTTGGATATTTTTGCATCTATCTGTAAGGTTGTTATTTACTATATTATCTTCAGTTTCAAGCATTCAAGTTGATAGCAATTTTACTCTGGTTGTTTCTGTTGGATTCAACTGTTGTCTAATTTTCTGATAATTGTTTTCTTAAAAAGATTCTGTTATCTATAACAATTTGGTTAGGAGGATGAGACTCTGCAAGTCTTTGTCTGTCATCTCTCTTTCTCTGATAGACTTGATTTTTATTTTTTTCTAAATGCAGCATAAAACCATTGATAGTGTTCTGGCACGAGGTGAGAAGCTCGACAGTCTAGTTGAGAAAAGTTCAGATTTAAGTGCAGCCTCTCAGGTACTTACTATCTGGTTACATATATATGCATTACAGCCAATCATGTGTGCCAAAATGCATTTGCGGCATATTTCTGGTTGATTTGACTTCCTTTGATATTCACTTTGTTAATTTTACTACTTTTCTCACATCCTATTTGAAATTTGAAGTAGGGAACATAATGGCTCACATATTGATACAATCCTCTTGAATGAAACTGTCTTACAATTTTCTGAATCTAATTTTGTAAAACTAGAGAACATTGCTAACATGCGAACCTTCCCTCTATTATTGAAACAGATGTTCTACAAGCAGGCGAAGAAAACCAATTCATGCTGTACCATACTGTAATTTTCTGAAGGAAAACAGTTATCCTGTGAAGGCGTGCACTTGTTCTAGTGCTGAAGCTATTGATTGATGACAAAATATAGACTGCAATATGTTATATATCGTATGATAATTGTTTACGTTTAAAAAATCCCTGTGGCTTTCTCCTTCTTAATGTTTGTCTTTTGGACAGAAAGTTGGAGGGAATTGAACATCCAGAAACGATTTTCTTTTGCGGTACCAGTATGTATGCCAATTCTTCTATTCTGATAATATATTGCATTTTAAATATATATTTTTCACTCTAAATGATATGGTAAAAGTGTAGTCTGATTATAAATTTATCAAAGGACCATTATTTTTTTTTTTCTTTCTTTTTTAACATGGGAATAATGGGGGAAGGAGAATTGTTTTTGGTTGGTGAGAGCCGAAATCTTAATTAACTGGATTTCAATATTAAAATTTGAGAATGAATTATTAAGCACGGAGGGACGCTTCCTCGGGGTGTCATTAATTCGGTAAGAATGTTATGATAATTTTGATGTTCGAACTACACCTTATAATACATAATAACAATGATGGATTGTCAATTCCGTGTAGCCTAGTTATTTGAAAGTACCAAGAAAGAAGAAACAAGATGGAGATCAAATCATCTACGTAACACACAAGTCTACAATGCAAACCATTCGATTGAAGTACAGGAAAAGAATTGACAGACACATGCATTACACAGGAATGCAACCATAATTTACGTTATTTACGTTATGCTGGCTGAATCTTAGATTTTTCACACTGGAATTTTGTCTCTTTATTATATATTACACCATTCATTTCCTTGACAGTTGAAACCCTACATTCCCAGGATGGATTTGAACCACCAAATGCCCTTGGTGTCATTAGGGGTTTCCTCTGCCACTGGAGGAGGATCACTCTGTGGTGTCATGTGCAGTTTGCTCACATCGTAGCCTTCATCTTTTGCCATCTGCAACAGTTGATTGTAGATCTCCTCATCCATATGTGTTTGTCTGCATAATATCTTCAAAACCACACCCAATTCAATCAAAAACCCATTAACACATGCACAAACAATCGCTCAAAAAGACCGCTAATTAAAACAAACATATGCATAATTTTTCTTTAGGAAAAGTCTCATTAGTTAAAGATGTCATTGAGTGTTATGTATCTTAATGGTTTGAGAACGGATAGGGATGCTCATGTTGCATAAGCGAACAAAATGTAATATAAAAATAATTTTATTTTTCTAAATAAGTACAAATTTGAAAGACGAGATTTAAATCAACATCATATTAGCATATTAGCATATTAGTGAAAGTATAGCTTTAAAAGTTGGCCATTAGCCAATCCGCCCTCAAGGCGGACGCAATATAAAAATAGTTTAGGACTAGTATGGTATGGACGCAATATAAAAATAGTTTAGGACTAGTATGGTATGGTAGAAAAGTATAGTTGCCCTCATTAAAACAGAGACATGGATTCAGAAGATGAAAAGAAAGATGGAGAGAGTGAAGGGCATAAATAACATACCCAAAGATACTTCTTGGTAGGCGAACCGATCAAAGCATACTGATATTCACCATCAATATACAACACCCAGTAATCTCCCACCACAGGAATGATGGGCAAGAATGGAGGCACATAGAATTTCACCTTTAGCTTGGCCTCGTCACTGTTTGGGTCCGCCTTGTATGCTGTCCCCTCTATGTACCCTCTCTTCCCGTCAGTCCATGTCTCATTCAGCACATGCACAGTCCCATCTTCGTTCAGAGTATAAGTAGCCCTGGTGTTCACTCCACTCTTGGGCTGAAACCTCGACGGAAACGAAGCAACCTCGTACCACCGTCCCATGTACCTCTTGATGTCCAAATTCCTCACCACCTCCATCTCCTTCGTCGCCATTTTTCTGGGCCTCCTTCTTTAGGCTGCTCAGATCTAGAGAAAGGAAAAGGATGACTCAGGATTTAAATTATGAGAATTTGAGTTCTAGTAAAGCTGGAACATGGTTGAAAATTTTTTAATGTAACGTGGAGAATTGAGGTCCTTACAATTGTGATTGAATTGAAAACAGCTTGGAATTGCCAAATCTATGTGGGTTTGCTTTCATGGGTCCTGAACTGTCCCGTGAGTGGGGTTTTGGGTTTAGCATTTCCGTGAGGGTGATGATTTGGGAAGGGAAAGTTGGAAACTTTAGCAAGGAAAGGAAAATAATGGAGATTATAATAGGGTTGTCAAATCAAATTCCATTGTCATTTAAGGGAAAACGGCGAGAAAATGAGCCAAACATCAACTTCATGGTAGCACACAGGTTTGAGGTTTTCGGTGGTGAACAGATTCAGGCGGGGAGGAGCGTACCATTGGAGCTCAGACGGGTCGAGGTCAGGTCGGGTGAGTTATCCGGATCTTAGCTCGGGTTTTCTCCTCGTTATTGGGCTTGTTAAAAAGTAATGGATAACCTTCCCCTTTTGGGCTACCACTAGCTTACTATATACTCTTCTTCTTGTAGGGCTAGGTTTGGGAAGGAAGAAAGCAGCTCTGTTTGGGCTTTTGGCCCTAAACTATTCATAACTTGGGCCTCCTGGCCCAAAAATAAAATACCTATTTCTTTCTTTTTGTTTTTTCTTTTT